GTCGCTATGAGTCGGTTCCGACTCGATGGCACCTGACAACAACAACAACATCCTACATAATGTATTATTATTTTTATAATAAAGGTACAACTAACATCTACTTATTTATTTTTCTAAAGTATTCATTAAATTGCTTGGAAGTTATATGGCAAAAAGCCCAACCTGGCTAATTGCTACAGGAAGTATAGATTATTAAATCAAAACTATCTTTCACTTAAGTTCATTATTTTCTGCTTGTTTACGCAGGTGCTTGTATGTAGGGGTTTGTGAATTCTAGCTAGTGACTGGATGTGGTGAGGTTTATGGGGGTAGGTCAGCTTGACTCTAAATACTATCTGCTTTTGTGGCCCCACAAATGCAGTTACTTAAGTTTTCTAAGGAAAGGGAGTAATTTATACAATTTCTCTTTGTTTTCAATCCACCAAGGCTGAAAGCAATTGCTGCTAAGCTAGTTTTTCCTAAGGTTTGTAAAATTCATAGTGAAAGGCTGTGAATATTGCCAAATTATATATTTTTATAAATAAATTTAGGATTACTCTAAAGAAAAGGTAGAAAGCAACTTCTGAGAGCTCTCTGTTTTGTAAGACCACTCCACTATTTTCCGGAACTGTGTCAAGCGGGAAATCGAAGCTGTTCTCCACCCTCAACCGCTCCCAGAAGTTAGTACTGTGCAGTTGTGAACGTGGACATCCAAAAACAAAATCTGGACTGTTATTTGAAAGTAAAATAATCTTTAAAAATATCTTTACTGGTTATGAGACACAGATTCCTCACTATGAACCTAAGAGTACACAGCGGAGTGTGGAACAGAAACATCCTAAATTGTCGACCAAGAAATAGTTTAATAGTCAACCATCGGCTGTAAAAATGGTATTTACAGTTCTCTGGGACTCTCCGGGCCAGTATTGGAACATTACCAGGAAAAAGGTTAAGCAGTCAACAGTACTGGTTAAAAAGAGATGCTCACTGAAGAGATGAAGTCTAAACTACAGATTTCCGCAGATGACTGCTCTTCAAGAGCATTGTGATCTTGCCTTCACTGCTGACACTATGTAAAACCCTTGTTTTGATGTCTTATCAATGGTTTCTTCTCACGGTTACTACTGTGCAGTTGTGAATGTGCACATCTGAAAACAAAATCTGGACAGATACTTGAAACAAGACAAAGTTTCAGTCAACCGTCTGCGGAAAATTGACATCTAGTGTTCTGGGACTCTCAGGGCCACTACTGGAATACTGTCAGGGAAAAGGTTAATCAATCAACTGTGTTCATTACAATGGGATGCTCACTGAAGAGCTGAAGTCTAAACTACAGATTTCCGCAGAGGACTGCTATCCAAGGGCACTGTGATCTTGCATGACAATTCATGTCCCCACACCTGTGCCTTCACTGTTGACACTGCGTAAAACCCTTGTTTTGAGGTGTTAGCGCATCCCCCCCATTGTCCCAATCTGGCACCATCGGACTTTGACCTGTGAGGTCCCCTGAATGCAGTGCTTAGAGGATGAATAGTCTCACCTATGATGAAGTGAAGACAGCACTGAATTGGTGGCTTGCAGCTCAGCCTAAAATATTTTTTAA